GAATATGGAAAGTCTGCAGATGTTTTGAAGCTTGATCCCAATGTTCCGGTGCCTGAAATAAAGGAAGACCAGGTGCTCATCAAGGTGGTTGCTGCAGCTCTTAACCCAATTGATTACAAGAGGGCGCTTGGGTATTTTAAGGCCATCGACTCTCCTCCACCTGTGAGAGCCTCATTCTCTTTCATTTTCTTTTAATGTATTTGCTTTTATTTTGAATTGAGGTTTTAATGAAGGAAGTTTTGTACCTTGTTATGTTTCTATTGCATGTTACCATTTCGCATGTTTACCGTTACTAGTAATCCAGCTGGGATGGCAAGTGACAAAGAATGTAGCAAGAATTCTTGTTTATTGAATTAATTTGTTTTGCAGACTGTTCCAGGGTATGATGTTGCTGGTGTGGTGGTGAAAGTGGGAAGCCAAGTAACAAAGTTTAAGGTGGGGGATGAAGTATATGGGGATCTCAATGAGAAAGCTGTGCAGAACCCAAAAAAGTTTGGGTCTTTGGCAGAGTACACTGCTGCAGAAGAAAGAGTTTTGGCTCTGAAACCCAAAAATCTGAGTTTTGTTGAAGCTGCTAGCCTTCCCCTAGCTATTGAGACTGCCTATGAAGGGCTTGAACGAACTGAATTTTCTGCTGGTAAATCCATTCTTGTTTTAGGAGGCGCTGGGGGGGTGGGCACACATGTTATTCAGGTAAAGTAATTTTGTTTCTAATTCCAAAATGTCCGGAGGCTATATATACCACAAACTGTAAATGGAATTAAAGTGAAACATTTCCACTAATTTGGGCAGCTAGCAAAGCATGTTTTTGGTGCTTCAAAAGTAGCAGCAACTGCAAGCACTAGAAAACTGGAGCTGTTGAGAAGCTTGGGTGCTGATTTGGCTGTCGACTACACCAAGGAGAAGTTTGAAGAATTGCCTGAGAAATTTGATGTGGTATATGATACAGTTGGTAAGATTCTTCATTCTGGTTTCTTTAATAATTCGATACATTATGTCATCCATATAAGGCATGCACCCACCAACAGGGGAGTTTATTGGTTTATTTATTTACCAGGAATGAATCAAAGACTCATTATTTTATGATGTTTTTGGCAACAACAAAAAAACAGGGGAGTCTGGTAGGGCAGTGAAGGCAGTGAAAGAAGGTGGGAAGGTAGTGACAATAGTATCAGGTGCAGTAACACCACCGGCCTTCTCTTTTGGGCTGACTTCAACTGGGACTGTATTGGAGAAGCTGAAGCCATACTTGGAGAGTGGGAAGGTGAAGCCGGTGCTTGATCCCACAAGCCCATATCCCTTTTCCAAGACTGTTGAAGCATTTGCCTACCTTGAAACTTCCAGGGCTACAGGGAAGGTGGTTGTGCATCCCATCCCATAAGAAAGATGATAGAGATTGTGCAGGCAGGCAGGCAGGCAATCAATCAGTTTGTAAGTTATGTATTTGTAATCTGCTGGTTGTGTAAACTTAAATTGTTGTAACATGTAATAATGGGCATGTGAGATGCTTATATGTATTATATACGAAGTCGGGAGTTTTGCATATGTATATCGGCTTGTGAAAAATAAGAAAAATAAGAAATTAAACTTTTTCCAAGTACATTGTTCTGAAACAGGATTTGTAACTTCTTGTTCTCTTGCCTAGTTTGCAGAGATATACCTTCGTGAAAAGGATAATTCATTCGGATCGACATGAGAGTCTAAATCAGTCAGTTTGTGTTTTATGTATTTGTAATCTGCTGCTGGTTGTTTAAACTTCAAGTCTTGTAATAATGGGATGTGAGATGATGCATGTTTTATATACTTACATGGAGTTGGTTGGGAGTTTGGGTACTTTGCACTCTGTTTTCTTCCTAGTTGCTCATTGCTGTGTTTATAAAGTTGAAAGATTTAGAGCTGGTAACAAAGTTGAACAGTCAGATATACCCTTGTTTATTTTGTGGTCTGGTGGGGTAGAAACGACTTTATTTATTCATCTAATCGTCTCCTGGCTATTCCCTTCCTAATTGTTTGAACATGTCCACCCACTTGACAGAAGATTAACACTGTTAAGTTAGCCACCAACTTTGGGGACAGCAGATTTTTTGGTTAACGCTGTAAACAAAAACGACGGAAACCGTCCAAACTAGAAAAACCTGTCTCAGGAAATCAGCATTGAACAAGAACATATTAAACAGCTTTCGTCATATCCGCCATTAAAGTAATAACATTTGACTTAGTTGAGGTAATATCAAACTATGAATGAACCCTAAACGTAAACGCATCTACATGCATAAATACAAATTTCAAACTTCAAACTTAATAATAAATACCCAGTTTCCGTACCTCTTTCCATCACAGATAGAAAGAACAGATAGTTTTCTTTCTTGTACGCACAATATTGCTGCGGAAGCAAATGTTCCCTCTGTAAACAAGGCTTGGGTGTACGCAGAGTACGGAAAACCTGCAGATGTGTTGAAACTTGATCCAAACGTGCCTCTTCCTCCCCTAAACCTAACGAAAGTTGGGTCCTTAAAAAACTGTAGATCTGTAGATATTTGCTTCCACATGTGGCAGCTAGCAAAGCATGTTTTTGGTGCTTCCAGAGTGGCAGCTACCGCAAGCACTAAAAAACTGCATTGGTAGAGGAGCTTGGGTGCTGATCTTGCTATTGATTATACCAAGGACAACTTGGAAGACCTGCCTGAGAAATTTGATGTAGTCTATGATGCAGTTGGTAAATATTTGAACATTCTTCATTGCTGTTTCTCTCTGCTGATATATCAAAACAAAACACTTCAATATGGATATAATTCATTCTTCATTTTATTAATTAATTAATTTAAGGTTTATCTGCTTTTGTGTTTCGGAAATTAACAAAACAGGAGAGTCAGATAGGGCAGTGAAGGCCGTGAAAAAGGAGGGGAAGGTTGTGACAGTGGCAGGCCCAATAACACCACCAGCCTTCATGTTTATGCTGACTTCTAGTGGGTCTGTCTTGGAGAAACTCAATCCTTACTTGGAGAGTGGGAAGGTGAAGGCAGTGATTGATCCCAATGGCTCATGTCCCTTTTCTAAGACCCTTGAAGCATTTGCCAATCTTGAAGCTAGTAGCAGAGCTATAGGAAAGTTGGTTGTGTACACACAGAGATATTCCACTACGATTGATCCCAATGGCTCATGTCCCTTTTCTAAGACCCTTGAAGCATTTGCCAATCTTGAAGCTAGTAGCAGAGCTATAGGAGAGTTGGTTGTGTACACACAGAGATATTCCACGTATTGTTGAAAAGTAATGCAGATTTGAATCTAGAATAATCTAGAATGGTTGAAAAATGAACAAACCGACTTAACAAAGTCATTAACTCCAAAAATATCATGATATCGAAAGCATGTTTTATTATAAAATAATCAAGATATTGTAATATAATAAACTAACCATTGTTGTAGTATAATAAACTAACCGACAGCTGTATACAAAGTCGTTACTCTCCTATATATAGGCTTGTTGCCTTGAACAAAGAAGTAAGCTGAAAACTACAGCTGTCCAGTCTCAAGCAATAAGCCAATAGTGAAAAGGCCACTAAGCCAGCAAAGAGTGAAAATGCCAATAAGCCTAGTAAACAAGTTTCTAGTTGTTGAAGGCCAATAAGCCTAGTCCTCTATAAAGCCTTGTACCCATCTATTGTTGAATAAATAAAATCGCTTTGTTGTTACCCCATAATCCAACATGTATAATATATGTACATGATGGACCATTATATATGATAAATGTTCTTTCACCTGCCTCCACCCCGCCTCCGGTGGGATCCACCACCTTCTTCCTCTTAGTTTGTCTTAGTTTTCTTTCGCAATCTTTTAATTAATGAGAGCATATGTGGTTGAAGTGTCAAACATAACATCCAATGGAGATAAACAATATATAGTAGCAAAGCAATGATGCATGGGTTTTGATTTTGAAGGCAGCAAGAGCAAATGTCAAAATTTGATTGCCCATTGCAGCTTTGTTTTAGATTTTGAGAATATGACAGAATAATGTATTATTTTTCACTTGCTCAAAACAAAACCAGTAGATTGTCACATCTTACGTTATTATCTGTCGGCTTAATATCATAAAACGTCCATAAGGTTTACGAAACTATCAGATTGCATCCTTAATATTTTTTTGTGTCATCCGTGGTCCTCAAGGTTACTATGTGTGATCACAAATGGTCTTTGCCGTTAGGTTCTGTCAAAAACTCCATTAGTTTGCTGACGTGGCATATATATATATATATATATATATAAAACATCCCTGAGGTTCACGCACCTATCACAAATGGTCCCTGCAAATTTTTTAAATTTTTTAAATTTAAAATTCATAAAATTTTGGTTTTCTTTTTTAAATCTTATGAATTTTAAATACACATGACACTATTATTGTAGATGTGGGCTCTACATATATGCCACATCAATAAACTAATGGAGTTTTTTAAAAATAATTTAAATTTCAGAAAATTTAAAAATGAAAAAACCAAGGGTTTAGGGTTCCTAAATGGTCCTCAAGGTTAAAATCCTTCTATAAATGGTTTTTTCATTTTTAAATTTTATGAATTTTAAATTATTTTAAAAAAACTTCATTAGTTTATTGGTGTGGCATATATGTGGAGCTCACATCTTCAAAAATATAGTGTCATATGTATTTAAAATATAATATTAAAAAAGAAAACCAAAATTTTATGAATTTTAAATTAAAAATTAAAAAAATTTCGTAGGGACCATTTGTGATAGATGTGCGAACCTCAAGGATGTTTTGTGATATATATATATATATAAATGTCACGTCAACAAACTAACGAAGTTTTTGACAGAACCTAACGGTAGAGACCATTTGTGATCACACATACTAACTTTGAGGACCACGAATGACACAAAAAAACATTAAGGATGCAATCTGATAGTTTCGTAAAACTTAGAGACGTTTTGTGATAATAAGCCTTATCTGTCTGTTACTGGATGAACCAACCAATTAACAATTTGTGTTCGTCCGTGGCGAATAGTGAAACTCGGCAGACATGCAATATCTCCCTCCCCATTTTCCATCCCCTTCTTGACTTTATAAAAAGCAGGCTCTGGTTGGTTTCTTGTTCTACCACAATTAACCAAAGTTTCTTTCTTGTACATCCAACATGGCCGAGGCTTCATGTGTATCCACCACACCACCCTCTGTAAACAAGGCTTGGGTGTACTCAGAATATGGAAAGGCTGCAGATGTTTTGAAACTTGATCCCAATGTTCCTGTTCCTGAAATAAAGGAAGACCAGGTGCTCATCAAGATGGTTGCTGCAGCTCTTAACCCAGTTGATTACAAGAGGATGTTTGGGTATTTTAAGGCCACTGACTCTCCTCTACCTGTGAGAGCCTCTTTCTCTTTCATTTTCTTTTAATGCATTTGCCTGTATTTTGAATTGGGGTTTTGAAAATAATCTTTATTTTAAGGAATTTATAGGTTTTTATTTTTTCCTTTTTAATTGTTTGGCAGTCCAGTCCGAAAATATGGCCTGCTGTTGTTGGATCCATTTTGCTGTATAAGTAACTAATTTTGTGCAAATCTAAATACTTAAGGAAAAACAAGGTAGATGCTTTGAAGAATCAAAGTAAATTTCATCTAGTTGAGTTGATCGTGAAGGAAGTTTTGTCACCTTGTTATGTTTCTATTGCATTTTCCCATTAGCACGTTTATATTCCTAGTAGGAGATCGACTCTCCTCCACCTGTGAGAGCCTCTTTCTCTTTCATTCTCTTTTAATGCATTTGCTTGTATTTGGAATTGGGGTTTTGAAAATAATGTTAATCCTTACGAATTTATAGGTTTTTCTTTCCCTTTTTTGTTTGTTTGTTTGGCAGCTTGAAAAGATGGCCTGGTATTGTTGGATCCATTTTGCTGTATAATTGCCTCTCTTTTTTTTCTTTTTTATACAAGTGATTGTGTTTTTAGTCAATTTTGTGTTAATCAAAATACTTGAGAAAAAAGAAGCTGCTTTGAAGAATCAAATTCAATTTCATCTAGTTGATCTGGAAGGAACTTGTGTTACCTTGATATGTTTCCATTCATGTTCCTGTGTTTTTCAATTAGCATGCTTAGTGTTACTAGTAATCCAGCTGGGCTGGCAAGTGACAGAGAACGTAGCTAGAATTCTTTTTTATTAAATCTATTTGTTTTGCAGACGGTTCCGGGGTATGATGTTGCTGGTGTGGTGGTGAAGGTGGGAAGCCAAGTGACGAATTTTAAGGTGGGGGATGAAGTATATGGGGATCTCAGTGAGAATGCTTTGGTGAACCCAAAAAAGTTTGGGTCTTTGGCAGAGTAAACTGCTTCAGAAGAAAGAGTGTTGGCTCTCAAACCCCAAAATCTGAGTTTTGTTGAAGCTGCTAGCCTTCCCCTGGCTCTGGAGACCGCCTATGAAGGGCTTGAACGAACTGAATTTTCTGCTGGTAAATCCATTCTTGTTTTAGGAGGCGCTGGCGGAGTGGGAACACATGTTATTCAGGTAAAGTAGTTTGATTTCTAATTGCAGCAAGAATTCTTGTTTATTGAATTAATTTGTTTTGCAGACTGTTCCAGGGTATGATGTTGCTGGTGTGGTGGTGAAGGTGGGAAGCCAAGTAACAAAGTTTAAGGTGGGGGATGAAGTATATGGGGATCTCAATGAGAAAGCTTTGGAGAACCCAACAAGGTTTGGGTCTTTGGCAGAGTACACTGCTGCAGAAGAAAGAGTTTTGGCTCTCAAACCCCAAAATCTGAGTTTTGTTGAAGCTGCTAGCCTTCCCCTGGCTCTGGAGACCGCCTATGAAGGGCTTGAACGGACTGAGTTTTCTGCTGGTAAATCTATTCTTGTTTTAGGAGGCGCTGGGGGAGTGGGAACACATGTTATTCAGGTAAAGTAAATTTATATCTAGTTCCAGAATGTCCTGCATATGGAATTAGTCAAGAAGTGCAAACATTTGCACTAATTTGGGCTCTGATTAAGTAGAGCTGAATATCTATACAATTGATTATATCTAATAGATTAATGTTTTTTTTTTTTAATGTGAGGCAGCTAGCGAAACATGTTTTTGGTGCTTCAAAAGTAGCAGCTACTGCAAGCACTAAAAAACTGGATTTGCTGAGAAGCTTGGGTGCTGATTTGGCTATTGATTACACCAAGGATAACTTTGAAGACCTGCCTGAGAAATTTGATGTGGTATATGATGCAGTTGGTAAGATTCTTCATTGTTGTTTCTTAACAATTCTATACATGATGTTTTCATCCATATGAGGCATGTACCCACCAACTGAAGTCTGGAAAGGAAATAATATATCAATGTTATAGCCTGTTGGTTTATTTACCAGGAATGAGTCAAAGAATGAAAATATATGATGTTTTTATTTCTAAAAACAGGGCAGTCTGACAGGGCAGTGAAGGCAGTGAAAGAAAACGGGAAGGTGTAATAATGGGGATGTGAGATGCTTATATATATTATAATATGAAGTTGGGAGTTTTGCATGTGTAATGGGCTGACTTGTGGAAAGTAAGAAAAAGAAGAAATTAAACTTTTTTCTAAGTGTATTGTTCTGTTCTAAGACAGGATTTGTAACTTGCTATTCTCTGGCCTAGTTTACAAAGATTTACCTTCGTAAAATGGATAATTCCTTCGGGGAAATTTTCCAATAAGTATTTAAGTTAAGGATTTGTTACATATTTCTTATCTCGGTCGTTGGATTGCATTCATTAAATGTGTTAGTATATTTAATATGCAACATACATTGGATTGAGATTAGAAATATGTAATCAATTCTTAACATAAAATACTTATTGGAGAATTCTCCATTTACTGGGATCGACACGAGAGTCTAACTATATCTATATTGTATAGCCAGGATCCATGTTGTATATTTAAAAGAGGTCGACTGACCTGTTTCTGCCATGTTACAATCCTGGCTCACTAAATACTGGGAGATTCTCCAATAAATATTTAAGCTAAGGATTTGTTACATAGTTCTAATTTCGGCCGTTGGATTGCATCTAAGAGACTACCAACGCATTTAATAAATGCAATCCAACAATCAAAAATAGAAGTATGTAATCAATTCTTAACATAAAATACTTATTGGAGAATTTCTCTATAAATACTAATCTAGATATACTAATGATAAGAATGATTATACTAATATAATTATTTAAAAAAAGAGCTATCTTTTTTTTTTTATAGTACTTTTCCCGGTTCCGTTGCTACCGCGTCTCTTGTGGCCAAAGAACCCAAGTGATAAAGTATCTAGATTCATTATTTCGAGTTTCTTTCTTTTTCTTTCTAAACGGCACGCTGTCAAGGTCTCCTCCCTCCCATCCATCCGAGTGTGTCCACTCATCTCACTCATTTGCTTACAAGAAGAAAACCCCTCAATTTCCCTGAAAGTTTGGTTTTTCTGTGCATTTTAGTCATCAATGGCTGCAGCTTCAAGTGATTCCATACCCTCTGTAAACAAGGCTTGGGTGTACTCAGAATATGGACAGTCTGTAGATGTTTTGAAATTTGATCCCAATGTTCGCTGTGCCTGAAATAAAGGAAGACCAGGTGCTCATCAAGGTGGTTGCTGCATCTCTTAACCCAATTGATTTCAAGAGGATGCTTGGGTATTTCAAGGAGATCGACTCTCCTCCACCTGTGAGAGCCTCTTTCTCTTTCATTCTCTTTTAATGCATTTGCTTGTATTTGGAATTGGGGTTTTGAAAATAATGTTAATCCTTACGAATTTATAGGTTTTTCTTTCCCTTTTTTGTTTGTTTGTTTGGCAGCTTGAAAAGATGGCCTGGTATTGTTGGATCCATTTTGCTGTATAATTGCCTCTCTTTTTTTTCTTTTTGATACAAGTGATTGTGTTTTTAGTCAATTTTGTGTTAATCAAAATACTTGAGAAAAAAGAAGCTGCTTTGAAGAATCAAATTCAATTTCATCTAGTTGATCTGGAAGGAACTTGTGTTACCTTGATATGTTTCCATTCATGTTCCTGTGTTTTTCAATTAGCATGCTTAGTGTTACTAGTAATCCAGCTGGGCAGGCAAGTGACAAAGAGCGTAGCTAGAATTCTTTTTTATTAAATCAATTTGTTTTGCAGACGGTTCCTGGGTATGATGTTGCTGGTGTGGTGGTGAAGGTGGGAAGCCAAGTGACGAAGTTTAAGGTGGGGGATGAAGTATATGGGGATCTCAATGAGAAAGCTTTGGAGAACCCAACAAGGTTTGGGTCTTTGGCAGAGTACACTGCTGCAGAAGAAAGAGTTTTGGCTCTCAAACCCCAAAATCTGAGTTTTGTTGAAGCTGCTAGCCTTCCCCTGGCTCTGGAGACCGCCTATGAAGGGCTTGAACGGACTGAGTTTTCTGCTGGTAAATCTATTCTTGTTTTAGGAGGCGCTGGGGGAGTGGGAACACATGTTATTCAGGTAAAGTAAATTTATATCTAGTTCCAGAATGTCCTGCATATGGAATTAGTCAAGAAGTGCAAACATTTGCACTAATTTGGGCTCTGATTAAGTGGAGCTGGTTGTCTATACAATTGATTATATCTAACAGATTAATGTTTGTTTTTAATGTGAGGCAGCTAGCGAAGCATGTTTTTGGTGCTTCAAAAGTAGCAGCTACTGCAAGCACTAAAAAACTGGATTTGTTGAGAAGCTTGGGTGCTGATTTGGCTATTGATTACACCAAAGATAACTTTGAAGACCTGCCTGAGAAATTTGATGTGGTATATGATGCAGTTGGTAAGATTCTTCATTGTTGTTTCTTAACAATTCTATACATGATGTTTTCATCCATATGAGGCATGTACCCACCAACTGAAGTCTGGAAAGGAAATAATATATCAATGTTATAGCCTGTTGGTTTATTTACCAGGAATGAGTCAAAGAATGAAAATATATGATGTTTTTATTTCTAAAAACAGGGCAGTCTGACAGGGCAGTGAAGGCAGTGAAAGAAAACGGGAAGCTTGTAACAATCTTTGGTTCAGTAACGCCACCAGCGCTCACATTTGTGCTGACTTCAACTGGGACTATATTGGAGAAGCTGAAGCCATACTTGGAGAGTGGAAAGGTGAAGCCGGTGCTTGATCCCACAAGCCCATATCCCTTTTCTAAGACTGTTGAAGCATTTGCCTACCTTGAAACCTCCAGAGCTATAGGAAAGGTCGTTGTGCATCCCATCCCTTAAGATGATAGAGATTGTGCAGGCAGGAAATCAGTCAGTTTGTGTTTTATATATATTTGTAATCTTCTGCTGGTTGTTTATACTTGAAATCTTGTAATAATGGTTGTGCATCCCATCCCGTAAGATGATGCATGTTTTATGTACTTATATGGAGTTGGTTGGGAGTTTGGGTACTTTGCACTCTGTTTTCTTCATGGTTGCTCATTGCAGGTAACAAAGCTGAACAGTCAGATATATTCATCGTATTGACCCCTGGCTATTTCCCCTAATTTTTTGAACAAGACCACCCACTTCACAGAAGATTAACACTGTTAAATTAGCCACCAACTTTGGGGACAGCAGATGTTTTGGTTAACTCTGTAAACAAAAATGACCCAAACTGGAAAAACCTAACTCAGGAAATCAGCATTGAACAAGAACATATTAAACTGGTGGAGGAGCTTGGGTACTGATCTTGCTATTGATTATACCAAGGACAACTTGGAAGACCCGCCTGAGAAATTTGATGTAGTCTATGATGCAGTTGGTAAATATTTGAACATTCTTCATTGCTGTTTCTTTCTCTGCTGATATATCAAAACAAAACACTTCATTATGGATACAATTCATTCTTCATAATTCCTTCATGTTTAGGCCGACTTCTTCTGGGTCTATCTTGGAGAAACTCAACCCTTACTTGGAGAGTGGGAAGGTGAAGGCAGTGATTGATCCCAATGGCCCATATCCCTTTTCTAAGACCCTTGAAGCATTTGCCTATCTTGAAGCTAGTGGCAGAGCTATAAGAAAGGTGTTTGTGTATCCCATCTCATCTCCATGAAATACAGAGTTAGAGTTTGCTTCTGCGCACTCGCGCGCACACATGTATTAAGGGGATGTGAGATCCTCATAAAAAATAAAGAAGGGGATATGAGAAACATGTTACATAAGTTGGAGTTTCGTTACTTTTTTTTCATGCTACTAGCTTTGCTTGTTGCTGTGTTATTTTTGCTGCAATGTAACCAGGAAACGAGGACGCCAAACAATAATAATAATAATAATAATCAATAAGGATCGAAAACACCTAGCCTAGTGGTTCCATTAACCTTTTTATTATTTTGCCCTTTTTTTTTATCTTTTTTTTTTTTTACTGTTCTACAAGTTTACCAGTTACACACAAAGATATTCCACTATGGGTCCACAATCTTCGACCATCTTGAAAGTTCCAAATTCGATTTAGATAGTAAAGTAACCATGTTCTTGGGAAAAAAAAAAAAAAAGTAAAGTAACTATGTTAATGACAGCATCTGTGGTTAAAGTGTCAAACATCCGGTGGTGATAAAAATATATAGTAGCAAAGCAATGATGCATGTTATGATTTTCAAGGCAACAAGAGCAAATGTCAAAATTTGATTGCCAATTGCAGCTTTGTTTTACTCTTTTCTTAAATGTGATCGGCACACGTTATTACTTTTTACAAAGTGTCAAACTTTACTCATACACATTAAAACAAAATTGTAAGTTGTCACAGCTTACGTTATTATCTGGTATGTTACTCGATGAATGAGCCAATCAATAAGTTGTGTTTGTCTTAGGTTAGTGAATAAGTTCATTGTGAAATTTTTAATAAGAAACCCCTTGTGGTGATTTTTTTAGCCATGCTCAAATTGAAGTTTTCCATCACCACTTTTAGGCTATGTTCTCAAGCAAATCCTTCTCCCAAAACCCGCTCTCTAACACTGCTCATGTTCTCTTTTAGTTCTACATCGTCTTTGACCAAGGTTGCTGCAAATCACTCAATTGTTCTTTGGCATGGTCCTTGTTTTCGTTGATTTTTTTTCACTATTATACCCGAGATAGATCAATGGAAATCATATTTTCCCCAAATCTGTTATGGATACGATGGTGGGTGTGGCCATGACAATGCTTCTTCAGGTGGTGGTGGCAGGGTTCATTTAGGCTCATGAGTTGCTTTAGGGTTTCGGTCATGTTGGGTTTGTAGGCTTTGTTTGGGCATATGATTAATTGTGGATGTGGTGATGTGGGCTAGTAGTTTTAGTGGGGTTTTTGTCCGCTCTAATTTTGTTTTTCACATGTCAATTTGTTACCCTCTTGGGATTGGTATTTTAGATGTCTTGTACTGTTGAAGTTTATTTAATGAAGTTTATCTTTGAAAAAAAAAAAAACAATTTGTGTCCATCTTTATAGTCAAACTATGCCACATGCGAGAAACCTTATCATCTTGTAGTTTGGATATATGACTTATATTCAAAAGATTTTTTTTTATTTTAAAAGTATATTGCTTTTTCTTATTTTTCTTACTGAGCGTGACAAATAAGAAAAACAAAAAGCAAAACTTCAATTGCATACATTTCTTGCGAAAAAATTAAAGGTTTTCCAATTGCATTGTTCTGTTCTCTTCTGGCACAATGAACCTGAGTCATAATATGCGTCCAGATGCATAATTTGAAATTTATTTTTCCTTTCTTCTTTCTGTGGCCGCGTACGTACGTAAATATCCAAGCTTCCACCACATTCTTCTCCTTCACCAACAAAACGACACGCTGTCAAGGTCTCATAGGTCCTCCCTCCCATGATGACATGGTTGATATTGATCTCTTTCTATTAAAGTGGAAGAGCTATCTGAGTGTGTTTGCTCATCACACTCATTTGCTTACAAGAAGAAAACCCTTCAATTCCCCTCAAAGTTTGGTTTTTCTGTGCATTTTAGTCATCAATGGCTGCGGCTTCAACTGATTCCATACCATCTGTAGACAAGGCTTGGGTGTACTCAGAATATGGAAAGTCTGCAGATGTTTTGAAACTTGATCCCAATGTTCCTGTGCCTGAAATAAAGGAAGACCAGGTGCTCATCAAGGTGGTTGCTGCAGCTCTTAACCCAGTTGATTACAAGAGGATGTTTGGGTATTTTAAGGCCACTGACTCTCCTCTACCTGTGAGAGCCTCTTTCTCTTTCATTTTCTTTTAATGCATTTGACTGTATTTTGAATTGGGCTTTTAATGAAGGAAGTTTTGTCACCTTGTTTTGTTTCTATTGCATGTTACCATTTAGCATGTTTACTGTTACTAGTAATCCAGCTGGGCTGGCAAGTGACAAAGAATGTAGCAAGAATTCTTGTTTATTGAATTAATTTGTTTTGCAGACTGTTCCAGGGTATGATGTTGCTGGTGTGGTGGTGAAAGTGGGAAGCCAAGTAACAAAGTTTAAGGTGGGGGATGACGTATATGGGGATCTGAATGAGAAAGCTGTGCAGAACCCAAAAAAGGAGAAGTTTGAAGAATTGCCTGAGAAATTTGATGTGGTATATGATACAGTTGGTAAGATTCTTCATTCTGGTTTCTTTAATAATTCGATACATGATGTCATCCATATAAGGCATGCACCCACCAACAAGGGAGTTTATTGGTTTATTTATTTACCAGGAATGAATCAGAGACTCATTATTTTATGATGTTTTTGGCAACAACAAAAAAAACAGGGGAGTCTGATAGGGCAGTGAAGGCAGTGAAAGAAGGTGGGAAGGTAGTGACAATAGTATCAGGTGCAGTAACACCACCGGCCTTCTCTTTTGGGCTGACTTCAACTGGGACTGTATTGGAGAAGCTGAAGCCATACTTGGAGAGTGGGAAGGTGAAGCCGGTGCTTGATCCCACAAGCCCATATCCCTTTTCCAAGACTGTTGAAGCATTTGCCTACCTTGAAACTTCCAGGGCTACAGGGAAGGTGGTTGTGCATCCCATCCCATAAGAAAGATGATAGAGATTGTGCAGGCAGGCAGGCAGGCAATCAATCAGTTTGTAAGTTATGTATTTGTAATCTGCTGGTTGTGTAAACTTAAATTGTTGTAACATGTAATAATGGGCATGTGAGATGCTTATATGTATTATATACGAAGTCGGGAGTTTTGCATATGTATATCGGCTTGTGAAAAATAAGAAAAATAAGAAATTAAACTTTTTCCAAGTGCATTGTTCTGAAACAGGATTTGTAACTTCTTGTTCTCTTGCCTAGTTTGCAAAGATATACCTTCGTGAAAAGGATAATTCATTCGGATCGACATGGAGTTGGTTGGGAGTTTGGGTACTTTGCACTCTGTTTTCTTCCTAGTTGCTCATTGCTGTGTTTATAAAGTTGAACGATTTAGAGCTGGTAACAAAGTTGAACAGTCAGATATACCCTTGTTTATTTTGTTGTCTGGTGCGGTAGAAACGACTTTATTTATTCATCTAATTGTCTCCTGGCTATTCCCTTCCTAATTGTTTGAACATGTCCACCCACTTGACAGAAGATTAACACTGTTAAGTTAGCCACCAACTTTGGGGACAGCAGATTTTTTGGTTAACGCTGTAAACAAAAACGACGGAAACCGTCCAAACTAGAAAAACCTGTCTCAGGAAATCAGCATTGAACAAGAACATATTAAACAGCTTTCGTCATATCCGCCATTAAAGTAATAACATTTGACTTAGTTGAGGTAATATCAAACTATGAATGAACCCTAAACGTAAACGCATCTACATGCATAAATACAAATTTCAAACTTCAAACTTAATAATAAATACCCAGTTTCCGTACCTCTTTCCATCACAGATAGAAAGAACAGATAGTTTTCTTTCTTGTACGCACAATATTGCTGCGGAAGCAAATGTTCCCTCTGTAAACAAGGCTTGGGTGTACGCAGAGTACGGAAAACCTGCAGATGTGTTGAAACTTGATCCAAACGTGCCTCTTCCTCCCCTAAACCTAACGAAAGTTGGGTCCTTAAAAAACTGTAGATCTGTAGATATTTGCTTCCACATGGGGCAGCTAGCAAAGCATGTTTTTGGTGCTTCCAGAGTGGCAGCTACCGCAAGCACTAAAAAACTGCATTGGTTGAGGAGCTTGGGTGCTGATCTTGCTATTGATTATACCAAGGACAAGTTCGAAGACCTGCCTGAGAAATTTGATGTAGTCTATGATGCAGTTGGTGAATATTTGAACATTCTTCATTGCTGTTTCTTTCTCTGCTGATATATCAAAACAAAACACTTCAATATGGATATAATTCATTCTTCATTTTATTAATTAATTAATTTAAGGTTTATCTGCTTTTGTGTTTCGGAAATTAACAAAACAGGAGAGTCAGATAGGGCAGTGAAGGCCGTGAAAAAGGAGGGGAAGGTTGTGACAGTGGCAGGCCCAATAACACCACCAGCCTTCATGTTTATGCTGACTTCTAGTGGGTCTGTCTTGGAGAAACTCAATCCTTACTTGGAGAGTGGGAAGGTGAAGGCAGTGATTGATCCCAATGGCCCATATTCCTTTTCTAAGACCCTTCAAGCATTTGCCTATCTTGAAGCTAGAAGCAGAGCTATTTGGTTGTGTACACACAGAGATATTCCACTATAGATAAAGGCAATCCATCAAAAGATTATATTATGTTTGATAACATAACAATTAGGAAATCCACCATCTTTTAACAAATAATATACTGTATTGTTGAAAAGTAATGCACATTTGAATCTAGAATAATCTAGAATAGTTGAGAAATGAACAAACCGACTTAAACAAAGTCGGTAATTTCAAAAATATCATGATATCAAAAGCATATTTTATTATAAAATAATCAAGAAATTGTAATATAATAAACTAACCATAGCTGTAGTATAATAAATTAACCGACATAGCTGTATACAAAGTCGGTGACTCTCCTATATAGCTTGTTGCCTTGAACAAAGAAGTAAGCTGAAAACTACAGTTGTCCAGTCTCAAGCAATAAGCCAATAGTGAAAAGGCCAATAAGGCAGCAAAGAGTGAAATGCCAATAAGCCTAGTAAACAAGTTTCTAGTTGTTGAAGGCCAATAAGCCTAGTCCTCTATAAGGCCTTGTACCCATCTATTGTTGAATAAATAAAATCGATTTGTTCTTGTTACCCCATAATCCAACATGTATAATATACATACGTGATGGACCATTATATTTTATAAATGTTCTTTCACCAGCCTCCACCCCGCCGCCGGTGGGATCCACCCCCTTCTTCCTCTTTCAGTTTGTCTTAGTTTTCTTTCGCAATCTTTAATTAATGAGAGCATCTGTGGTTGAAGTGTCAAACATAACATCCAGTGGAGATAAACAATATATAGTAGCAAAGCAATGATGCATGGGTTTTGATTTTGAAGGCAGCAAGAGCAACTATCAAAATTTGATTGCCCATTGCAGCTTTGTTTTAGCTTTTGAGAATATGACAGAATAATGTATTATTTTTCACTTGCTCAAAACAAAACCAGTAGATTGTCACATCTTACGTTATTATCTTTTATTGGATGAACGAACCAATTAACAATGGGTAATGCTATGTTTACCACATTTTTCATACCACATCTCTAATAAAGGCGGAACTCACCAATACAATGGGACCATCTCTATTAGAGAGGTAGTATGTGATAAGCCTAGTATCTCAACCGAGGCGAATAGTCAAACTCGGCAGACATGCAATATCTCCCTCCCCATTTTCCTTCTCCTTCTTTGGCTTTATAAAAAGCAGGCACTGGTTGGTTTCTAGTTCTACCACAATTAACCAAAGTTTCTTTCTTTTACATCCAACATGGCTGAGGCTTCATGTGTATCCACCACACCACCCTCTGTAAACAAGGCTTGGATTTACAGAGAATATGGAGAAACTGCACATGTTTTGAAGTTTGAAACAAATGTGGCTGTTCCTCAAATAAAGGAAGACCAGGTGCTGATTAAGGTTGTTGCTGCAGCTCTTAACCCAATCGATGCCAAGAGGGTCCTTGGCGTTTTCAGGGCCACTGACACTGCTCTGCCTGTGAGCTCACTCAACTCAGCTGCCCCCTCTTCATTTTTCTCTTTCATTTTTCCATAATTAAATCATTAACTAACTAAAAACTTATCATTATGAATTTATGAATCTGATTTGTTTGCAGACAGTTCCAGGGTTTGATGTGGCTGGATGTGGTGGTGAAGTTGGGAAGCAAAGCCAGCAAATTTAACATTGGGGATGAAGTGTATGGAGATATCAATGAGGAGGGTAGCATAAACCTGAAGAAGTTTGGGACTTTGGCAGAGTACACTGCTGCAGAAGAAAGATTGTTGGCTCTGAAACCCAAAAACCTGAGCTTTGTGGAAGCTGCTAGCCTTCCATTGGCTATGGGGACTGCCTATGAAGGGCTGGAACGAGTTGGGCTTTCTGCTGGCCAGTCCATTCTTGTTTTGGGAGGCGCTGGGGGGGTGGGCACACATGTTATTCAGGTACATATTAATTAATTAATTTTGTTCTTATATTTTTCTAGCTTAGCAAAAGCAATTTCAATTATCCCCCCATATATTGTTTTGTTTGTTTTTAGGTTAATGTTTGTGTTAATTTTGTGGCAGCTAGCAAAGCATGTTTTTGGTGCCTCCAGAGTAGCAGCCACTGCAAGCACTAAAAAACTTGATTTGCTGAAAAGCTTGGGTGCTGATTTGGCTATTGATTACACTGAGGAGAATGTGGAAGACCTTCCTGAGAAATTTGATGTGGTGTTTGATGCAGTTGGTAATTAATTAAGAACTAATCTTCATTCTTCATTTCTATTTGTTCACTAATTACGTGAAATGAAAGGGAAATAATTCAATAATTCAAAAAAAAAAACAGGTCAGTCGGACAAGGCAGTTAAAGCAGTGAAAGAAGAAGGGAGGGTTGTGACAATATTTGGTCCAATAACACCACCAGCCTTCATGTTTGTGCTGACCTCAACTGGGTCCAATTTGGAGAAACTCAAGCCTTACTTGGAGAGTGGGAAGGTGAAGCCAGTGCTTGATCCCATAGGCCCATATCCATTTTCTAAGACCCTTGAAGCATTTGCCTATCTTCAAACTTCCAGGGCCACTGGAAAGCTGGTTGTGTATCCCATCCCCTGACCCTTAGCTGAGATCAATTAGAGTTTATGTCTCATATAATTAATATATATATGCTTAATCTTGGTTTAATTACTAGCTACTTGTATGTAGTTAGGGAATGCAAGATTGATGTTGTATAATATAAGTTGGAGTTTGTAATTTGTATACCCCTTTGTGATGAGAAATGCTTCTCTAGCTTGATGTCAATGTCTATCTTTCTATTGCTTTTCTTAGAGCATCCACAATAGTTATTCAATAGATGTCAAATAGTTCATAGTTCAATATTGAACTATTTTGGCATCTATTGAATTGAACTGCAGTTTTACTTGCAATAGTACAGTTCAATAGCTTCATATCAATAATTATATTTACTTACATGTTTTTTTACATACTCAAATAAAATTTAATAACACTAAAAAATTGTATCATTGAAATATTCTCAAAGAGATCTTTAAAAAAAGACCAATTTTGAATATATTTGAAAAAACAAATTAATTGTTGTTTTTTTTTTCTATTGCATTGAACTATTGAACAACCATTACAGATGCTCTTAACAACATAATGCATTAATTGCTGTATTTTATATATTTTTTATTGACATGTGGATCTCACGGTTAGTCTATTGCAATTGCAATAGAGGGTTCATCACATAGCACTCTCTATTGCAATTGCATCTATTGCAATGAACTAAATCACACCATTGCAAGTGAGATTTAATTGTTTTAGTTCAATTTCATACAATAAAATTGCATTGCTCCTAACCATTACAAATGCTCTTATGTAACCTCATGAGAGAGAGAGAGAGAGAGAGAATGATATTGGCACATGGGCATGAAGTATTTTCCTTCTTCTTCTTTTTTGCCCTTTTTTTTTTATTGTTCTACAAGTTTACCAATTACACATACATTCCACAACGGATATAGATAAAGGCAATCCATCAAAAGATTATATTATGTTTGATAACATAACAATTAGGAAATCCACCATCTTTTAACTAAGGCTTAACTCTTGATTTGCCCCCTAAATTTGTACCTAACTTTTGATTTACTCACTATTCTTTTCTTTTTCTTTATTTTACAGAAAATTAAAGATATGAACCTTTTTTTTTTTTTCCAATTTCCCCTCTGCCACCTAAATCCTCAACATTTCATCCAATTTTCTGTTAAACCATTTTAAAAATTATTTTTTGGAAAAAAAATTGAAGAAAAAAAAAAAGAAAACAAATTCCGTGAGTCCCACTGAACCAAACCCAATGCCAACCCTTCATCCCTCCCCTCCAACCCGAAGAACCCATCCCTCATTCCCCTTCTGTCTCTCCCCCTCCCGTGTCCTCCTCCTCCTCCTCCTCCCTTTCCCCTCCTTCCCATTTTATCTCCCCCACTTTCCCCTCTAATCTCTCTCGCTCTCTCTCCTCACGCAACCCCATCGACCACAAACCCCATCGATGCACCCCCACCCCCTCATCAACTCAACCTCACAGACCCTGCTTCCACCCGAGACCCATCCCCAGCCCTTGCCCCACCTGAGACGCATCCCTAAGCCCTTGCCCAGACCCATCCCATCCCCCAACACCTCCCTCCCACCCCCCCTCCCTTCACCCCCCGAGATCCACTAGACTCATCCCTCTCTTCCCCGGTAGCGGCAACAGATCCATGCTCCCACCCTTGCACAGAGAGAGAGAGAGAGAGAGAGAGAGAGAGAGAGAGAGAAATGTATATACATATTGTTGAGGCCCAAAAAAGTCACGGTTCGGCCCAAATAAATTCTCGGCCCAATGCAATACCTTACCGAGGACATGCGAAAGTTCGTAATATGCGCTTGCACACACGCCACGCTAAGCAAACAAACAACACGCCACGCTACAAGCTTAAGTGGGCCCAAGCCACGCAAGATGCCTGAGGCTTAAGTTGACATGATGAGGCCCATTGATGGGCCAAGAAATGGAAGTCCCGGGGTTGCTTGGGAGCCTCGGAACTCATGCCTATTTCTTAGGCCCAAACATGTGGGTGAGCACAAAGAGAAAATATCCCAACCAAAAAGCCCAACCGAAATAGCCCATTACCCCAACCAAAATAGCCCAACCAGAAAATAGCCCATTACTCCAACCAAGAATGGCCCATTGCCTCAATCAAGATAGCCCAACACTTAAGGGTAGCCCATTTATTTAATTATTGTCATGAAAAGCCCATACAATTAGGATAAGAAATATCAAAAGCTCCAGCACTTGGCTGGAGGACAAAGCTGCGCAAGGAGCTTGGAGGACCACATGCACAGAGCAGCTGTAGAGCTTTGTATGGGCTTTTTTCTTCCGGCAGCAGGTGGGCTGGGCTGATGAAGTTGTCCCCTTTGTCTGAGCTCGAAAATTAAGCCCCAAAATGCTTCGAAAGGGCAGCGAGGCCTTAGGAAGTATTTTGGTTATCTTCACCAACAAAAACAACAGCAAATTACAGATAATTTCTTCATGCTTACAGATAAACTTTCGGGCTTGGCTTGAAAGGCATGTGGTATG